CCTCTTACATACTCACTACACAACATCTAACAACATCCAATAGAAGAACACGTCAGATGTCAAATACAGAACAACTCAAGACTCTAGACTTATTCGTTCCAATATATTAAATACAATAATTTTGCAGTTGACTATTTGATTGGTTAATAGAATTTGACCTCTGCATGACACTCTACATGATGCTGTTAGATTTTAGCCAGTATGTGCGCAGATCTAACATTTAATTTTAATTAGATTGACAAAGTTCCTAAAACTCTTCTAACACAAGCCTTTGTTTAATTAATTTCATATTTTCAGCATTTTTGATCAGAATGATTTGAAATAAAATCTAAAAATTTATAACTGTAAAATATCATTAGTTTATTAAACTAAAAGTTGCCTCTTTTAAACACTTGACAAGAGATAATGAAATAAACAAACTTGAATTTATTTAAATGTACCTGAATAAGTATGTATGGATTTGTTTCTGATTTTCAGAGTAAATTAAGGATTTTTTTTTCATTCAACTTGTTCATCATAATGATTTTTTTTTGTACCCCTATCCTAGATCCTTAAACCATGATTCATGATATTTGAATAACAAGAGGCCCATGGGCCACATCGCTCACCTGAGCACTAAGGGTAGGAAAAAGTAGAAAATGGCTTTCTATTGTAAAGTTTAAATCCAAAAGTAGTCCCATGACCAATCACGGATTTGCTATTTTTAGAAAATGATTTTTAAAGAATTTTCCTATATATATCTTTAAAAACTTAAGTCAGCCATTTTGGCCCCGCCCTACCCCTAGGGGTCATGATTTGAACAAATTTGAATCTACACTTCTTTAGCATGCTTCCATATAAATATGATGAATTATGGCTGTGTCATTCTTGAGAAGATGTTTAAAGAATTTTCCTATATATTTCTATGTAAAACTTTGGCCGGCCATTTTGGCCCCGCCCTACCCCGGGGGTCATGATTTGAACAAACTTGAAACTACACTACCTAAGTATGCTTCCATATATATATATATATGATGAATTATGGCTTTGTCATTCTTGAGAAGAAGATTTTTAAAGAATTTTCCTATATATTTCTATGTAAAACTTTGGTCGGCCATTTTGGCCCCGCCCTATCCCCTGGGGTCATGATTTGAACAAAATTGAATCTACACTACCTGAACATGCTTCCATATAAATATGATGAATAATGGCTTTGTCATTCTTGAGAAGAAGATTTTTAAAGAATTTTCCTATATATTTCTATGTAAAACTTTGGTCAGCCATTTTGGCCCCGCCCTACCCCAGGGGGTCATGATTTGAACAAACTTGAATCTACACTACCTGAGCATGCTCCCATATAAATATGATGAATTATGGCTCTGTCATTCTTGAGAAGATTTTTAAAGAATTTTCCATATATTTCTATGTAAAACTTTGGTCGGCCATTTTGGCCCCGCCCTCCCCCCGGGGGTCATGATTTGAACAAACTTGAATCTACACTACCTGAGGATGTTTCCCCATAAGTTTCATCTTTCCTGGCACAGTGGTTCTTGAGAAGAAGATTTTTAAAATATGCCACCAAATTTTCATTAATTCCAAATTATCTCCCCTTGAATGAGGGCGTGGCCCTTCATTTGAACAAACTTGAATCCCCTTCACCCAAGGATACTTTGTACCAAGTTTGGTTGAAATTGGCCCAGCGGTTCTTGAGAAGAAGTCGAAAATGTGAAAAGTTTACAGACAGACAGACGGACGCCGGACAAAATGTGATCAGAAAAGCTCACTTGAGCCTTCGGCTCACGTGAGCTAACAACTAGAGGCCAACAGACCTCATAGGTCACCTGAGTATCATGTAACAACTTTCACTCAATTGAATTTGGTTCGTGTTTTAAACAAAAAGCCATGAAATTCCCAATTTTGAAAGACACACAATTGTTGTTCATAATTATACACTTAGCATGCTTACTTTGGCTACTCAATACCCAAAGGTAGATCAGAGTAATAAAGATACAATGCAATTCCATTTTATAACCACCAGTTGTATACATCACCCCACAGAACCACTTACCCTGGGGCCACAAATTTCAAAATTTTCTAAATGTTTTCATAGGTTTTACTTGATCTTAAATGGTTGATTAATTCCAAACAGCTGTAAGATCTACCCTAATGCTAGAACCCCTGACCCTCATGAATCTCATAATGATGGTAGAGGACTCGATACTGATTACAATCATACCGACAGTTTGACTGCTTGATGTTCAGGAGGAAAGAAGAGGATTTTTAAAAATTGCATGAATTTTAGTGGTTTTGGCCCCATCCCTCAGGCCCGGGGGGATAAAATTTATAAATTTTGTTCCCCTTCACCCTTAGATGCTTTGTACCAAAATTGGTTGAAATTGGTTAAATTGATTGAGCGGTTGCAGAGAAGCTGAAAATGTTTAATGTTAAAACACGACATAAAAAATCAAATAGTAGGCCTGTTGATAAAGACTTATTTTAAATAAATCATACAATTTTAGTAGGTAGCTCGCAAAATGAGATTTTCTAAGAAAATGTGAACATCTCTTTATTTGATGGAAATGCCGAACATATTAAGATATTATATAAAGCTTAAAATGTAGAAGAGAGCAGCTTCCATGTACATCCCCAAACCCCACAACACACACACACACACACACACACTGACAACCACTGACTATGATAAATAGAGAGCTTAACACAGTGAAATTAGGAAAAAAGTAGAAAATAAAAGCATTAACTTTATGCTTTACTCCTTAATTTCATAAAATAGAGCTACATAATAAGTTCTTACTATTAAAACATACTTTTTAACAGAAGTATTCCTCGTCCTCTCTTAGTTTTCAGATGATTTGTTCAGTGGATATCTGAAATTAAAATAAATTGAGTTAGTACAATACCGTACATTAACTTTTTTGTTTTTAGCATGAGCTCAGAAAAGTCCCAAAAACCACTTGCATGTCCATTTCCTGGCACCTGACATGCAGTTAAAATTCTAATGGACACATGACAAAGAAAAAAAATGACGGGGAAACTTGTTTCATTTTAAAATGGACACACCCTGGTCTACATGTAATTCTAAGTAGCAGTCCTATCACATCCTCAATTTAAAAGTTCTTCAAAAGCAATTATATCTGAGAGTGAGAAAAATTAAATAAGTTATAATTTTTCATAAAAGCAAGACTACATCTAAATTATGTTTGTTTATGATATGCAGGCCATCTCCAATTCAAAATTATAATCTATCATGATCCATTTGATACTTTATTTTATTTATTCTATTTTACATCAAGGGCAGATAACTATTTGTATAATAAGACAGAACTATGACTCTTCAGTGGCCATTGTTGAAAACTGATTTAATTAGTGATAGAAATATGGCAAATGGTAGACAGCTATAGCCAGAGAGATTACGAAAATCTTATCGGTGTATCAGTCATTTTATCAAGTCAATAAAATTTAGAGAATTTTGAGGTCATAAAAGTATTATATCAAATTTTCGTAATTGGTCAAATTGCCAGTGTGGCCCAGTGGTTAGAGCGACGCGCCTAGAGTTTGGAGGTAGGTGCTGATTCTTACATCACGGGTCTGAACCTAATGTAGTACATAGAGACCGGTCCCTCGAATGAGACAATGTTGGTTATGTATCCACATGAATAAAAAGTTGAGGTTCTCTAAAGGGCAACTACCAAATACTAGTATATTACTTATAATGAATCAATACATGCAACTTAAGAAATTGAAAATGGCCAATTGTCCATTTCATCAAGCTCCAGTCTATCATACTGCAGAATTTATATACAGGTAAATACTGTTCTGTGGATATCAAGAAAATCATGTTTATGATTTAAAAGTGATTTCTGAGATTTTGTTCATGTTAGACATGTAGCGGACAGTATATAAGGAACTTATACTGCCTCACTAGAGAGCTATAGCTTTTCTGGTGATGTGGTAGAGTCTCCCTCTATTTCAGGCAAGTTAAGCAACGGCGAAACTGTTTAACCCTTGGATGGGTGACCGCTTTACGTTACAGACATATATGCTTTAAAATCACAATGTAATATGGTATGAAACTTAATAAAATACTTCAACTTGAATAATGTGAGGCATTCTGAAAATTATCAAGTCACTTTCTGATCGAGTTTCATAGATTAGTCAAAAAATCTGCAAGTTCTCAGGAATTTTACTTTCATGACTACAACAAGTACAAATTGGCATTTCACAGTGATACAATACTACACGATGGTATTTTCTCATCATGATGCCCTCTTACATGTCTAATATTTACGATTCTAGATTGCATGTATGTTAAAAATATATTGAACCCCTTCCTCGGCTGTGCAGCACAGTCTTCCATCAATAATAAAAAACAATTCAGCAAAAAAAATAATGTACGATTCAAGAAACTACTCCTGTCTGTGAATAACAATGAACACATTCAGCAGCTATAATGAACAATAAAGCTCACCTTTTCTGAAAAAAAAAACATAAGCGTGGGGTCAAATCTTTCGATTTTCCAAGTGAAAAAGTTAACACCGGATACAAGTACATAATGATATCACCACATATACGAGCTTGTCTCGGATATGTGAGTTTATTGAAGTGACCCTATCAATTTGATCATTCCGGAGAAATTGGGTCCACGTAGAATCATAGAACTCATTCTTTCCGGATATTCATAGTCCATTTGAGTAAAGTTTAATATTACGTAATTGAACTTCCTTTCTAGAAGATTCAAGAAAATTGTAAGTTCACAAATTTGCTGTAGAAAAAATCGCTCTTGATATTATTTGAATTTGGTAATTTTAAGGAGTTTAAGAAATTTTTTCTGAAAGTATAAGATAATTCTATTGTGTTTTGAAGCAAATTTACCATCGATGGTTATTTTAAGCGTCGATTTTTGATCAATTTATGCACACCACGTGGTTTGAAATTTTCTGCAATATTTTTTTGCATTGTATGTGACAAGTTACAATAGTTTAGTTTTATTTTATTTGAGCAAAATGCCTAAAGCGAAATTCAAGTCAGTCATATCGACACGGAGGAGTGCAAAGAGGGCACGGGTTGCAGCGCCGCAGCCCACAGTTCAACCTGAGCAAGTTCCAACCTCGGCATTAGCATCAACGGTACAAACACCCCCAGCAGCTAGTGCATCCGTAACATCACAGGTGGTTGAACTTCCCCAGCTTAGTCTTTCCGCAACATCCCAAACAGCCTTACCCAACAACGCTGTAACACAACCACAGGCAGTCATGGTACCGGAAATGAATGCCAGTACTTCAGGAGCGGGAACTAGCAGTTCACAAGGTACTGTTGAGAGTGGTATTGGCATGCAAACAGTGTTGTCAAGCTCAGTTCAACCTTCTATGACAAATTCAACACAATTTTCATTAGGATATCATGTCGATAACTCAACCAAACAAAAGATAGCTAACGGGGAGTATGTTAATTTTGCTAATTTACTGGTTAGGGACCCTAGTAAATTTCAGCTATCAGCATTAACTATGAACGCGCAGGGTCATATAATTGCTCAACCAAAGAACGCTAACAAAATCACTTCAATTGAAAAGTGGACAGATGCCTTTTTGATTTTTTCTAGTATTTTTCTCGCAGCGCACCCTAGTAAAACACAGCAATTGCTCAAGTACTTGCATGATGTCAGATTAGGGGCTGAGAAATCACAGGGTTGGGTTACATACGACGAGCAGTTTAGGTTACGCATGGCATTAAATCCAAATGGTAATTGGGGGGTAATAGATAACGAATTGTGGCTGGTTTACATGTCACTTTCTGTAGCAGTCAATAGCCAAAGGACATCCACGTATTACAAATGCTTTGATTACAATTACAAGGGCAAATGTACCAGATTACAGTGCACGTATGCACATCGCTGTACGAAGTGCAGTGAGATGCACCCCGCATTACTTTGCGTAAATGCACAAGCAACTCCGGCTCCAAATGTACCAAATATCAATCGCACATTTCGGTCAAACACTTCAGCAGGTCAGCAACCCCAGTTTCAAACTCCATACCAGTTCTATGCTAGAAGGCAAACAGGGCCACAAGCAAGACATTTGGGACCTGGGCGTTTCCCCAATAAGAATTAATTCAGTCCACAAATATTTGGATAAATACCCTGATATGTCGGCGGCCAATTTTTTAAGGGAGGGTCTGATCAAAGGTTTCAAGTTACAATATGCGGGCCCACGCAGTTCAGTATTTAGCAAAAACTTGGTATCTGCAATTCAGCATGCCGATATTTTACAGGAAAAAAATAGATAATGAAGTTAAGGAGGGGCGGGTGGCAGGTCCATATGAAAATCAACCAATACACAATTTGCACGTATCCCCAGTAGGAGTGGTTCCGAAAGCTGATAGCGGTTGGCGAATGATAATGCATCTTTCACACCCACCGTCAATCAGCATCAATCATAATATCGATCCAGCATACACTGCCGTCAAGTATACATCCTTTGACACAGTGGTACAAACAATAAGTAAAATGGGAAAGGGGGCAGTCATTGCAAAATGTGATGTTAAAAGTGCTTTCGGCTTCTTAGGGTCTATCCAGGCGATTTCGAATTACTCGGAATGTATATTAATAGGAAATATTTTTTCGACAAATGTTAACCTTTTGGATGTGCCATTTCATGCAAAATTTTTGAAACATTTTCAACATTCTTAGAATGGGTAGTGAGGGATAAAACTGGGATGGAAACACTTCACAATTATTTGGATGATTTCATTTTTATTGGTAGGGCCAACACCGAAGATTGTAAAAGACTTATGCAAACTTTCCTGGAGGTTTGTGTTGATATTGGGGTTCCCCTAAATAGGGATAAGACTGTGGCACCTACCACTTGCTTGGTATTCCTGGGCCTGCTTATTGACACTATTGAAATGCAAGTTAGAATCCCCCATGAAAAAGTTATGGAACTTACTCAGCTCCTTCAATTTTGGATAGGCAAAGAAAAAATTAAACTGTCTGAACTACAAACCTTGGTGGGCAAATTGAATTTTTTTAGTAAGGCAATACCGGGGAGTAGGGCATTTAACAGGCGTTTTTACAACGCAATGTGCGGACTAGACAATCCATATCTACACTTAAGAATAACTAGACCAATGCGGGAGGATTTGAAAACGTGGCTTGAATTTTTAAAAGACTTTAATGGGGTGGTTTATTTTCCAGATAGTCAATGGAGTTCTTCAGATGCACTGGAACTTTTTACAGACAGTGCAGGGTCAGTAGAGTTAGGCTGTGGGTGCTATTTTAAGAGGCAGTGGATATTTTTTCAGTGGCCTGCAGTATGGGCTAATTCAGCAATGTTGAGGGATATTACATTTTTGGAGTTGATACCCATCGTTTTATCAGTGCTTGTATGGGGGAAAAGATTGCAAAATAAAAAAAATTAACTTTTTCATAGACAATATAGCTTTAGTTCACATATTGAATAAGCAATCATCACAGTCGGAGAGAATTATGTCATTAGTCAGGCCACTAATGTTAGCATTGTTAAAGTTTAATATACAATTCAAAGCTAATCACATTCCAGGAAAAAGTAATTGTATTGCTGATTGAATATCCCGCAAAAAGTGGGAGATTTTCAGGCGTCTGGCACCAGCAGCAGACCCGGAGCCGCAGACCATACCGGAGCAATTCCAGAGATTACTCTCTCAGATGAAGTAGAGCGTTTGTTCAATACATCTATGTCGGCGAATACTTGGCAAACTTATTCAGTGGGGATTCAAACTTTTGAAAATTTTCGTAAAGAACAAGGATTGGTCAACACTTGGCCGCCACCATATATACACATACATATGTTTATTGCACAACTCTCATTAAGGGGTTACAAACACTCGACAGCTAAGTCATATATGACAGCAATCAGTTTTAGTTGTAAAAGTAAAGGCTTAGATGACCCGACAAAGTCCTTTGTAGTGCAAAAACTTTTGCAGGGCATGAAGCGATCAAATCCTGGGGGGGATAGTCGTTTACTAATTACATTAGATATATTAGGTGTCATAATACCTAAACTTTAGGTAGTTTGTAGCAGTACATACGAAACAGCGTTATATAAGGCAGCTTTCTTGCTCGCATTTCATGCCTTTCTTAGAATAGGTGAAATTGCAATATCTAAGGGCAACACAGTTAAAACAATTTTGCAAGTGGAAGATATTCCATTATTTGCCAATAAAGTGATTATTAATGTTAGGCAGTCGGAAACAGATCAGATAGCTAAAGGCGTGAAATTAAGCGTTCAGGCATCTTATGGGGTAATGTGTCCGGTAAGAGCGATGCAGGTGTACTTACAAGAGCGTCCGACAGGTATGGGCCCTCTGTTCTGTCATTATTCAGGAAAACCGGTAACTTGCTTCCAGTTCAGTTCAATATTAGAGAAAGTTCTAAATATGTCGGGAATTGATAGTAGAAATTATAAGTCACACTCATTTCGTATAGGGGCAGCAACAACGCTTGCACAGCAAGGGGCATCAAGGGAGGTTATTCAAAATTCGGGGAGATGGCGTTCTAATGCTTATTGTTCATACATTCGTTAATCATTCAAATTTTAACATTCATCTAGTTTTTAATTCAGGCAATTTTAAAGTTTGGATCGTTGGATCATCAATCGTGAAGAGAGCCTTTTTAACAGCAAGAACAAGAACAGGGGGTCACAATCTAAATTTGCCTAACACACACATATGGTGGCAGGGCTATGGGGGTATGATATTGAGTCAACTGGTACCTAAACTGAAGCTCCTACAAAGATTAGAAGACCAACCCAATCTTGTTATAGTTCACTGTGGGGCTAACAATATTGGTCTTCTAAAGTTGAAGGACTTATTGCTACATATCAAAGAAACATTGTCACAGGTATCTAAATTATTCCCCAATTCAAAAATAGTTTGGTCAAGTATGCTCCCAAGGTATGTATGGCGTTACTCTAGCAATGTCAAAGCGATGGAAAAGGCCAGGGCAAGAATTAACAGGGAAGCAATTAGGGTTATTACATCACAGGGTGGGGCCTACATAAAACATTTACAATTTGAGGGTAAACATAGGGGGTTATTTCACCAAGATGGGGTACATTTATCGGAACTTGGGGAAGACTTATTGTTAAACAATTTCCAAGGGGCGATCGAGCAATTTATGTTTGGTAAGGGGAATGCATACCCAGCCTAGGTATTGACTATTGAGCAGGCCCTGGTCGTGGTGACCAATTGCGTTGGGGTACTGCCGCCGCCACCATGGTTCTTGGCACCCCATTTGTTGGGGTTGCAGTGCCATAACCATTGTGATTGGCTTAGGCCAGCACACAATGGTTATGGCCCTTGCAAGTGGCGTATTCCGTCGCACCTCAACGCAATTGGAGGAGTGCAACACATCAAGCTCATTACATTGGTTGATTGTTATATTGAAATTGAACTGTTGAATTTGTACATTGAATTTAAATTGAATATGCAATATTGATTGATATTGATTAGTGGGCATTGGATAATACTTTGACTGTTTAAGGGTAATTGACTATGGATTTTATTGTTTAAGGGTAATTGACTATGGATTTTATTGTACATGTTTTGGTGACGTCCACGCACTTGTGACATACCCAGTGCTGGATCCGCCCAATTTTGGGCCGTCACATATTTGGTATTGTTTGTTTATTGTTTTGAGGGGCAGCCCTGTGGTAGCCCCTGCAATGAATCACCGCGGCCAGATGCGCCACAATAAAAAATTAAATATATATTTTGTTGTCTTTAGGGAATCTGAGATAACACCACATATGCGAGCTTGTCTCGGAGAAGTGACCGTATTAATTTTATAATTCCGGAAAAATTAAATCCACATAGAATTATAAGTGTCAAGCTTTCCGGATAATCATAGTTCATTTAGGTAAAGTTTAATATTACGTAATTCAACTTCCTTTCTAGAAGATTCCAGAAAAGTGTAAGGTGACATTTTTTATGTAGGAAAAAACTGCTCTTGATATTATTTGACCCACCCTCCCAACCCCTTTATATGAAAAGATACTGCTGGCTGCTTTCTTCTGTATTCTTCTAGCGGATCGCATGAAGATGTCCAGTTTTGATTCAAGTCCAGTCCATGTCGCGGTGATGATAGTTGGCGTATGGTATTCCGTCGCACCTCAACGCAATTGGAGGAGTGCAACACATCAAGCTCATTACATTGGTTGATTGTTATATTGAAATTGAACTGTTGAATTTGTACATTGAATTTAAATTGAATATGCAATATTGATTGATATTGATTAGTGGGCTTTGGATAATACTTTGACTGTTTAAGGGTAACTGACTATGGATTTTATTGTTTAAGGGCAATTGACTATGGATTTTATTGTACATGTTTTGGTGACGTCCACGCACTTATGACATACCCAGTGCTGGATCCGCCCAATTTTGGGCCGTCACATATTTGGTATTGTTTGTTTATTGTTTTGAGGGGCAGCCCTGTGGTAGCCCCTGCAATGAATCACCGCGGCCAGATGCGTCACAATAAATAGTTAAATATATATTTTGTTGTCTTTGGGGAATTTGAGATAAATTTCTATGTAAAACTTTGATTCCCTATTGTGGCCCCGCCCTTCCCCCGGAGGTCATAATTTGAACAATTTAGAATCTACACTATACCAGGATGCTTCCACATAAGTTTCACAGGCGCGGATCCAGAAATTTTTTCCAGGGGGGGTCCACCCCAGTCAAAAAAAAATCCAATCCCAGAAATTTCTTGACAAGCAAAAAAAGAAAAAAAACCTAAACTCGCCCAAACGTCAAAAACCTATTTCGTAGGGGGGGGGGGGGGTGTTTTCTAATGCCT